GGAAATGGATTGGACACACCCCGAGGAGACCCCCGTCAAGCATCATCAGGCAGGCTTTAACGTGGAACCTACAAGGAAAACGAAAGAAGGGAAGACCAAAGATGACATGGAGGCGAGCGGTACAAGCTGAAATTAAAAAAGCGGGGACATCATGGAAACTGATAGAAAAGGATGCTCAGGACAGGCTTCGCTGGAGTAATGTTGTTGATGGCCTGTGCTCCACTTGGAGTTAAAAAGGGCAAGAGAGAGAGAGAGAGAGAGAGAGAGAGAGAGAGAGAGAGAGAGAGAGAGAGAGAGAGAGAGAGAGAGAGAGAGATCTTATGCATAGAGAGGTAGTGCAGCACAGCAGACTAACATCGTACTGTCTTTGTTTTGTTTTGTTTTTGTTTGTTTTTTCTTGAGAGATATGAAAAAATAGTTGATGATTATGGATTATTGAACAAAAGACCAATGATGTTGGCGCAAATAATTGTGACGTGTATAGAGCTTGTTGTAGAGCGGTAATATAGGCTATGTAGAAGCAATTATTGTCATACATGTTGGGCAAGATGAAGCGACAGGCTTGATTAGGTAAGTTCATTATAACAGGATTCCACTGTAGTAAGACGTAATCACGTAACTGTTGTGGGGTTGTATGTGATCTCCTAAATGTGAGGCAGCGTGGTGGAATCAGGCTCTCGTCAAAATAATCAAAGTGAAGAAACGAGCCTTTTTCCACAGGTTTGTGAATTTTTATCAAATTTTTTTTTTGGGCTCAACACCTTTCATACCCATTAAAGAACTCATTTCTGTGTGGATTTTTCAGAAAAACGTTGATTAAAGGCACAGAAAATGTAAATTTTTGGTTACCACGGAGTCTTAAGCTAAGGAGATAACTAATCTTTGGCGGCCATTTTCTCACTAATTTTACTTCTGACAACGCAAATATCTCGACTAGTATACAAGAAAAATGGACATTTTTTCCACCAAATAAAGACAAGGGAACAAGCTTTAAGATGATACCAATAACTCTACATGCCCCAAAATTGACGAGAGCCTGATTCCACCACGCTGCCTCACATTTTCTCTACCGGAGTTAAAAGAACGTATTTGAGGATGTAATCGCATGTTGGGCTGTTGCATACTATTACTATGGCTTTGTTTAAATATCTCTTGAGTGAACATTCTATTTTGTATTTACATATACAGATGGAAACGCCTCAATATTGAAAGGGATAAGACCACTTGGCTTTGAACACCTCACTCATCCAGAACAATTTATTTAAAAGACAAATCTAGTTGTAGAGCGGTAATATAGGCAATGGCTTTGTTTAAATATCTCTTGAGTGAACATTCTATTTTGTATTTACATATACAGATGGAAACGCCTCAATATTGAAAGGGATAAGACCACTTGGCTTTGAACACCTCACTCATCCAGAACAATTTATTTAAAAGACAAATCTAGTTGTAGAGCGGTAATATAGGCTATGTAGAAGCAATTATTGTCATACATGTTGGGCAAGATGAAGCGACAGGCTTGATTAGGTAAGTTCATTATAACAGGATTCCACTGTAGTAAGACGTAATCACGTAACTGTTGTGGGGTTGTATGTGATCTCCTAAATGTGAGGCAGCGTGGTGGAATCAGGCTCTCGTCAAAATAATCAAAGTGAAGAAACGAGCCTTTTTCCACAGGTTTGTGAATTTTTATCAAATTTTTTTTTTGGGCTCAACACCTTTCATACCCATTAAAGAACTCATTTCTGTGTGGATTTTTCAGAAAAACGTTGATTAAAGGCACAGAAAATGTAAATTTTTGGTTACCACGGAGTCTTAAGCTAAGGAGATAACTAATCTTTGGCGGCCATTTTCTCACTAATTTTACTTCTGACAACGCAAATATCTCGACTAGTATTCAAGATAAATGGACATTTTTTCCACCAAATAAAGACAAGGGAACAAGCTTTAAGATGATACCAATAACTCTACATGCCCCAAAATTGACGAGAGCCTGATTCCACCACGCTGCCTCACATTTTCTCTACCGGAGTTAAAAGAACGTATTTGAGGATGTAATCGCATGTTGGGCTGTTGCATACTATTACTATGGCTTTGTTTAAATATCTCTTGAGTGAACATTCTATTTTGTATTTACATATACAGATGGAAACGCCTCAATATTGAAAGGGATAAGACCACTTGGCTTTGAACACCTCACTCATCCAGAACAATTTATTTAAAAGACAAATCTAGCACTGAGCAGGGCTTATCCCTGAGAAAAAAACCACGATTGAGACATAAGAAAAGCAAAGACCAAGCAACACCTTACCACAACCTGTCTGTAAACGAACTGAGAAGTGATATTAGTGTACGACCAAACAGCATGCACCGGCCCATCTACCCAACCACCCACTCACTGCCCACTCCCTCTTGCGGGCGTAATTGTTACATGTACTTGTGGCAAACTTAGCTCCGAGCAGTTCCCACCAAGTTGCCAACTCACTCAGTCATCCGCCGCCCACTCTCCCACCAACCGACCAACCCTCTATTTCACTCACCATGCAAACTGCCCACGCAACCAACAAAAGTTCACTCGCTCACTCACTCACTCACTCACTCACTCACTCGCTCACTCACTCACTCACTCGCTGACCTGTTCCCCCC